ACCATACAAACAAAGGAGAGAAAATTATAGAAACAATAGCATCTTTCTTATTTATACAATGTAGAGGCTGCTTGTCTCCCAAAGATTCTGAGCAGCTTACAATTTCAATAACAATAATGGGGAAGTGGAGTGACTTGATCAGAAATGTGTAAGCAAACAGGTGTTCTGATGTTGTGGGAACAGTCTCAGCCTGGGAAGAGACACCTCTGAATCTGTTTTGTCCACTGTGGGATCCTTTTAGCATCTGAAAGCTTCCCTCTGTGGTAGGGTTGGACATTTACCCATTTGTTTCCCCCTATTCCCCCCGACTCAAGAACTGGAACGTTTATTACATTTTTTAAAAAATCTTTGTTTGACTGTGGTTAAGCACAGTGGTGGGATTCAAATAATTTTACAACTGGTTCTCTGCCCTAACGATTTCTTCCAACAACCAGTTCACCAAACTGCTCAGAAAGTTAACAACCGGTTCTCCCGAACTGGTGCGAACTGGCTGAATCCCACCACTGGTTAAGCAGGGAAAGTTGTGGCATAACTCAAGTTGCTCAGGAGAGCTTCCAGAGATCCGGACCACTCCTGGGCTGGCAAATGCTCAAGAGAAGGTAGGCCCAGGGATGGGGATAGAGTCAGACAGTCTCAGGTATTGCTGTGAAGGGCTTGGATTTTTTGAGAAGTATAATTGGTGGATGAATGTGATGGCTTTGAATGTTTAGGTAAAGGCCAATCTTGGTTGAGATTACACATTTTCAGGGGTGGAAAAGATCCAGTAAAGTTGAAGTTGCATTAGAATAATAATAGAAAAGCAAGGATGGAAATTCAAGTGTAGAGAAACAAGAAAGAATAAAATATGCACTTAGTAAGGTCCTTTTCTAATGACCCTACGTGGAGCAAGAGAAACGGAGAAGTTTCTCCTTAAAACTACAATCACAAGAATAAAATGTAACACTGAAAAGTTACAGAACATTTCCATAAAAAGTATTTTGAAGGAAATCTTGTCTCATTCTACTGCTGAATGAGGGGGACGTGGAGCCTGGAATGTTATGTATGATCATCGCTCAGCTTTCTTGGAACATCTCATCATTCATTTTCTCAACTGCCTCGCTATTAACAATATTGTTGATGCTGATGGTTCAGAATGCAGCAGTGCCGGCAGTTATGTGTGCACCTAGAACAGTGCATACTGCACCTCTGTTCTGTGAACTGCGTTGGTTGCCAGTTGGCTTCCAAGTCCAATTGAATGTGCTGGTTTTAACCTTTAGAGCCATTCATGGCACAATATTGTGTCATCTTTCAGAGGACTGCCTCTCCCCAATTACATCAGTCCACCCCAGAAGATCTGCCGGAGAAGGCATGCTGCAGATCCCATCAGCTAGGTCTGTACATTGAAGCCTCTGTGGCGCAGTGGTTAGAGTGCAGTACTGCAAGCTACTTCTGCAGCCAGCTGCAATTTGGCAGTTCAAATCCCACCAGGCTCAAGGTTGACTCAGCCTTCCATCCTTCCGAGGTGGGTAAAATGAGGACCCATATTGTTGGGGGCAATATGTTGACTCTGTAAATCGCTTAGAGAGGGCTGTAAAGCACTATAAAGCGGTATATAAAGCTAAGTGCTATTGCTATTGCTATTTAGTGGGAGCCAGGCAACAGGCCATCTGTGTCGTGGTACCTCCTTATGGAACATTCTTTTGTAAGAAATTAGATTAGCTTCATCCCTTTTGACATGATGAAGTCCCTCAAGACCTGGTTGTGTCACCAGGCTTAGAACTTCCAAGGAATCGGAGATAGGCTTAGATGACTCCATTGCTGAGCTGGCTATTCTTATTCTCTCTTTGCCTAGGGTTTGTATATTTATTTGTATAATAAGTTATTTTTTAACATTCTTATTTTTTTTAATACTGATTGCTTTATAGGTGTGGTGCTTTGTTGCAATGTTGTACACTACCCAGAGTTGCTTTGTGTGAGATGAACAGCCATATAAAATATGATAAACACTATATTACACTTTTATTTTAATAATTGCACACCAATTATATCATCCAATCGTCCTTGATCGGCTATGATAGGGATGATGTTTTGTCAAGCCTGGCTTGATAAGACTTTTGTGATCTCTATTATCTGTCAAGATTATAGTTTACAATGATTAATTGTGCCAAATTTTCCATGTGTCTTAGGAAATAAAGTACACAATGACGTCATGATTTCTAGAAAGGAACATTGCTGATCTTCAGCTTTGAGTGCAGCTTTCAAGAACATTTAACTTTCAGAAATCTAATATCAATGAAAAGCATGTGTAACTTGAACCTTACTGCAAGAGGATCCTGTTGACTTATATAAGCAACAACCTCCTGCCTAGCCCTTTAGATAATAAGTGTTAAGAAAACAATTCTGAAATCCATTAATGCTTTTGAAAAAGTGATAAACATATAAGAGGTGTTACTCTTGATTTGTTTAATGTTGACTGGCAGTGTCTGGCAATTAATGTACCTGTGGAAATGTATGGCAGAATACATTAAAATGTGCTAATTAATGGTTTGTGATAGGAGTAGTGAGTTCAAAAGTAGGAATAAGCAAAAACATTGCTTATGTGATATGAGTGATGTGGTGGCCTGGGGTGGAGCTCTCACCTCACCATCAAGAGGTTGTGAGTTCAATCCTAGGTAGACCCTGGATCTCTTTGGCTTTCTAAACCTAAGAGATGAGAGTTTGTTTTTAAAAAAGGGGGGGGACAGAAAAAGAAGGGAGATCATACACACAAACACAAATAAAGGATTTTATTTTGTAATTAAAAGTCAATTAAAACTGGAAAGGATTCCCTTTGCACTTACTGTAAACATATCCAGACTGAGAATAAACTTATTTAAAGCTATGAGGCTTAGTTTTAATCATTACTAAGATAACTGCTTTGATTTCAGTGGGTCTTTCCTAATAAGACTGGCCAAATACAATACATAAACTATGCAGAATTGGCCCCAAGGTCCTTTCCAACTCTGTTATTCTATTATAGTTGATATACTTAGGATAATGTCAGATTAATTGCATTTGGAAATGGCTGTTTTGTTTGATGTGGGGAAAGCCTTTGATTTGCTATGATTAAAATATGATTAAATGTGGCATATTATATTCCAATAATTTGAGATCAAAGAAAAACTTATCTATGGGCTACATATAGTTGTTTATTCCATCAAAATGTACACTTAACTGAAGAATCAGGTTGGAAAACATGAGTTGACTTTCTACAAAGAAACTAGGCCTTTGACAGTGGATGGTCTAATATTACTCCATGAGGCAGTCAACTTTTAGTTTGTTCTGTAAGACCCAAGTTTTTGTTTTATATCGATTTATTTCAACGTACGTGTTTGAATTTTATTCTTCCTTCTTCGTTGATTTTCATTGGTATCTTTTATATACTCTTAATTTTTAGCGGGTTGTTTTTCAAGAGGCAAGTGGACTTTCTGGTTTTTCTTTGAAGACGTTTCGCTTCTCATCCAAGAAGCTTCTTCAGCTCTTTCTTCAGAGGAAAAAAAAAACAACCCCAGAAAGTCCACTTGCCTCTTGAAAAAGCACCTTTGGGACAACCATGACCTGGATGGTTGTTAGTTTTCCTTTTTTAAAAAAAAAAAATCACAAGTTTTAACTAGTTTTCATAGTAGTATTTTTAGAGCTGTAAATCCCAAAAGTGTTTCTTACAGTCCTACCTCACAATTCGCCGCAAACCCATCCCTTAAGGTCGCATGGGAGGATAAGTGACCTGCAAGGGCGCTATGGCAACGAGCGCGGCTCAGCCTCTTCTTCTCAGCCATCCAGGCTCGCGTTCCTGGTCCTAACCAAACGGGTAGCAACCCAGCTGCCCTCTCCGTCCCTGTCTCTGTCCCTTTAACTATCCCTCGGCTAGGAAGACACGCATGCGCAGGGACTGTTCGATTCCTGTCACCGGGAGGAGGGAAGGGGGAGGAGGAGGAGGAGGAGGAGGAAGGCAGGGAGGGGGGAGACCCAGCGAGGCGACCCAGGGCGCTTCAGCCCCCGTAGCGCCGAGCCCGCTTCCTTCAGCTCAGGCCTGAGGCGCCGCCTGGAGAATTCCAAGGCAGCGAGCCTGGCGCAGCTGCCGCGGCTTTTCTGCTCGCTGGCATCCGCAGCTGCCCAGCAGCTGCCCCACAGGCGCGGCAAGGGGAGCTGCAGCGGCTTTTACACCCCTCCCCTCCTCCCTCGGGGCCAGCCGACCTTTGTCCCTCCGGCTCGCCCGCGCAGTTGTTGGGCTTGCCTGGGAAAAAGGAACCCCGTGGCCGTGGGGCTTCCCCGTATTTCCAGGGCGGCGGCGGCAGCAGCAACAGCCCTGGCTGGCTTCCGTCGCCCTCCCTTCCTCGGCGGCAGCGCATTGTGACCCGTGCTGAGTTCACCTGCCTTGCAGCGGGCGGGCTTTGGCTGCATGAAGAGACTCCCCCTCCCCGCCCAGCAACGCGAGGAAGGTCGCCTCCTTCGCGCCCACCCTCCCCGCCCGCCCGCCTGCCTGCCTGCGTGTAGCCTGCTGCTTCGTCTTTTGTCTGCCTCTCTCTTCTCCGCTGCCTGGGGGTGGGTGGGGGTGTGGGAGATCGCCTTTTCTCCGGCTCTTCTGGCATCTCCCTCTTGCTCTTGGGATGCTTTCCTCGACCTGGTGGCCACCAGCTCATGATGTCCAGCTAGGTGAGTGAGTCCTGTGTTCCCAGATCCTCCCCTTTTCCTCCTTTCCTTTCTCCGGATGGTGTTATTTTTTATCTCGGCATCCTTGAGAGATAGCTAGGCGGGTCTCTTTCTGAGCCGAAATTCAGAAGTTCCCAAAGCAAACAGCATCCTATTCCTTCCTGGCTGGAGAATTTCAAAACCTCAGCGTTGCTGTTGCACTTTTTCTTTCTTTCTTCCCCCTCTCTATGAATGAGCCCCACCCTTTTGTCTGTCTGTCTTAAAGGGCCTCCACTCTCTAACTACTATGTCTTCAGCAGCTGCTCTTCTGTCTCAAACAATCTGAAGGGGCCCAAAGGTTTTGGGGTCTGAAGAACAGGACATCCAACTTGATGGATGCTGTGATGTCAGGTTGCAAAGTGGATGGCGGTGGCGGCGGTGTTGCTGTTCTGCGGAGGTCCCAGGCCAGGGAAGGGGTGGCCCAACGAGAAGAAGAGCAAGAAGAAGATGGAGATGAAGACCTCCGAGACGGAGGAGTCCCTTTCTTTGTGAACCGTGGAGGGCTTCCCATCAATGAGGCCACCTGGGAAAGAATGTGGAAACATGTGGCCAAGATCCACCCTGAAGGAGAATTAGTAGCTCTGAGGATCCGGGGAGCCACTGATCTACCCAAGGTGAGAGGACTCCGAAAAAGAATGTTGGAAGGAACTGCTTCCTTGACATCAGTCAACAAAGGGAAATAGTAGGGTGAAATAACTGGAAATCAATGCCAGGGTTTTTCTAATTTGAGTCTGACAGTGAATGGATGGGAATCACAGATTAAGGGTCCAAGTGGGTGAGATCCATCTCCACATAAACATAATCTAATTTATCTGTTTAACTCATAAAGGTGCCATTAAGCTAAGCTTAGTTTTTGCTAAGTGCACTTATCCAAGTAGATTTATTTGCATAAATATGAAAGCATTTACCATGATCTTTTTCCAAGATGATTTTGAGTAGCCTATTGGGATTTTCTGATGGTTTCCCATCCCAAGTACTATCTAAGATCAACATGGGTTACTGTTTAGTATTTGAGCTGGATTCATTCATTAATAGATTGAACAAAGAATAGCCAGATTGTGCAAATATATTAAAGGAATCCACTTTTTTAGACATAGCTCAGCAGAATACAGTACACTTGCAGTGCATTTAATTACAAAGTAATTATATAAACAAATTATACAAAGTAATCCATATAAATTATACTTTACAAGGATACACACTTAGGCCTGTGGCTATAACAAGCACAATGACATAAAATAGTGCCAAATCTTGACAACATCATGCAAAAGTCAACTTAGCACTTGTGTCATGATGTCTGACACAAGGATGTATGTCATGATGCCTGAGGTACATATTATTGTTTCTTCCCACTTCTGCTTCCTGCAAACATTTCATTTGGATATGCTTTCTTTTTTGATGGGTGTGTGCCTACATTGGCTTTTGCAGTGATCCACCTGAGCTGAGTTGATTTAAGTTTATTGACACTGTCCTATATTGAACATTTTTTATACTTGTGCTGGGAAAAGAACTGAGTTGAGTTCACATGATCATTCACAGCTATCTAAACACCAACTGTATTAAGATTTAGGCCCATAAGAGTTGTATGAAACAGTATAACTAGCTTTAAGAATCTGAAGCTAAGAACAAAACAGCTCAGAGGAAAGCATCTTAGGAGAAAAAAGTACTTTTAACATTGGACAACATGATATTTTTGATTATAGGTCTCTGTTGTACAGTATTTTAATGGTATTCTTTGTCATGTAAAGCCGACAGTGTTTGAGAGATACTTACATGTTATGAGGTCATGCCAGATACATTTTGAGTCAATAATATGAGGATATCGCAATTCTTTGGACAGTTTCCTGTTTTTTTTGAAAAGTGTCCACTCTGGAAGAGATGATCTAAACTTATTATACAGAGCACACAAAAGGGCAGGCTTTACTTCTGGAAGTTGACTCTATAATTTGAACTGATTGATTTTATCTGAATTCTAAATAAGCATTAGTTCTTATTTAGTTCTTCTAACTAAAAACTAAAAGCCTGTATAACTGTGTTGTGGGGATTGTACCAACTGCCAAAGCTAAGAAGAACAAACCGTGGGAAAGGTTAAGAACACTTCTGATTATTTCCATTAAATATTATAGTGTAATATTATTATAGTGTAATCTTTTCAGCTTTGCCTGTTGACTATGCTTCTTGACAATTCTGGGAATCCCAGACTCTACTTATCCATGTTAAGATCAAGTTATCAGGAGGAGGAGACTGTTGTAGTATGTGATTCAAACTTTATTTTCATAAAATAAAGTTTGCACTGGGTCCTCAAAAGACTGAACATGAGGACTGTAGTGCCATTGCTAAGTTGGCCAGCCCAACAAGTTTCACTAAATTGTTGGGACAACATAAATTTTACATTGTTGTTATCACCACTATTTGGCTCCGTGAGCTGAATTACCATTGAACAAAGGCAAAAGACTTGTGACAAACCTTAGGTATTATTAACTTAAAGCAGGTTTCCGTAGCCAATAAAGTCATGGTTTCTAGAACAGAAGAAGAGGTTGGCCAGAGCCAACCTCTGCCTATAGTAACTGACTTGGTAGCAATTTTCCTATCATGCAGCAGTGCCCAAATGAGCTGCTTGCTGCAAAAAGGGTGAACATACTGCCCATGGCTCCTCATCCCCAGTCCTGCCCTGTGTTATCACTTGTTCATCTTGGACAGATGGAGCATCTTCAGAAAGGTTACAGTGAGTGCAAAAAAAGGTCCTTTTTAAACATCAAGAGAGTGTGTTGGAATGAACAGAGCTGCATTTCAGACTTATTGCAGTACTGAAATACCGTCTGTATCTTCTGCTGTTTAAGACCATATTGCAGAGTCAGGAAAGCTCCTGAATTTGGTTTATTTTATTCCTGTGCATTATTGCCAAGCTTTGTCTTTCCTTGATGGCTTGAAATGTAATACTAGCTGTGCTGTCTGGATGCTCAGAACACGAGACCTTCACATTTCCAACGCCTAGGAAGGAGCCTTTGTTCTGCAGACATTTTGCATCTGGATAAGTTCCAGCCCAAAACTCTGAGTCAAATATGGGTGTCTGGCAAGCCTAGTGATTCAGTGGCATATAGATTGCTCACATATAGATTGCTAACTCACATATAGATTGCTAACTAACTCACATATAGATTGTTAACTCACATATAGATTGCTAACTCTCGTTTTGTCAGCATTGTAAGAGATAAATGGGGGGGTTTGAATATTAACAGTATATTCACTATGCTGCCTTTAGGAAAGCCTTTGCACTACAGCAGTGTTACAGCTTGATCAATTATGTGACATCAGATTGGTGTCATCTGTTACAACTGCATGGACCTCACTTCACAGAACAATCTCTCAAAATCTGTATCTTTAGGTATCTCAACAGCACCACTATAGTGGCTGTCACTGAATTCATCCACCTTTGACCTTCATGACTAGAACTCAGGGGTTATTTGCATTTTTAGCCATCAGAGTCACTGTCATAGGCACAGTGTAAGTTATTGACATTTATTCACCCACTTATATATTTTGTACAAAGGGTAAATAAATAATGGGAGAACATATAGCCTTGTCTTACGCTTTTGCTGACCTAGAGCCAGTCTTTTTCACCATGTTCTGTCCAGACTATGACTTCCTAACTTTTGTACAGATAGTCCTCCACTTACAACTACAATTGAGCCAAAAATTTCTGTTGCTAAGCAAGACAGTTGTTAAGTGAATTTTGCCCCCATTTTACAACTTTCCTTGCCACGGTTGTTAAATGAATCGCTGCAGTTGTGAAGTTAGTAACATGGTTGTTAAGTGACACTGGCTTCGCCATTGACTTTGCTTGTCAGAAGGTTGCAAAAGGTGTTCAGGTGACCCCAGTGCATTGTAATCATCATAAATATGAGTCAGTTGCCTAGCATCTAAATTTTGATCACATGACCATGGGGAACACTGCAACAGTTGTAAGTGTGAAAAAGACTTTTTTCAATGATGTTGTAGCTTCCAATGGTCACTAAATGAACTGTTGTAAATTGAGGATTACTTGAATTGGTTTCGCATGAGCACAATGAGATGTCCAGGCATCTTCCTAAAGAGATTCCAGAACAAGATATGATTGACATACATCAAAGATCTTTTTATAATCAGTGAAGCATATATTGGCTTATTTTGTTATTCTTGGACTTTCTCAATGATCCAGTGTGTATCAGCAATGGTTTGAGTTCCTTGGCCTTTTCTAAAGCCAGCTTTAACATCTGTCATCTCCCTTTCCACATAAGTCTGTAATCTGTTTTGGATGATCCTCAGCATTATTTTTCTAGCATGTGAAATTAAGGATATTCCAATAGCTTTCCAGCTGGTAATGATTACAGCACTGATCTCATTTCATTTTCTGGAACTAGAAGTTCTTATAAATAGGGAATGTCTTCTGGGGTGTCTTGAATGCTGTACAGAATTTCAGTTTACTCCTTCCATCTTGGCTGCAAAAATATTCTAAATTGTAATTATTTCATGGAAACTTTGTTTTTTTTTTGTTGGACATTTTCAAGTACGTAACTGTTGTAAATCTTGCTGTTGTCTTTGGTAGCTGCTTTCTGATATGCCCAGGCAGAAAATGGAAATATCATTTTCTTTATAACTATGCTTCCAGGTGTCACATAGCTAAGGACTGGCATTATTTTAAAAATGGTTACTGATACTTTGTCTGAAAATATGCCTTTATGATCCCTCCCCCCAGCAAAAACCAGAACAGTTGAGTAATAGATGGGAGAACTACAACAGGTGGCAGAAAGCAATTTCTTGGCTTCTTATGCAAAACAGTTTAACAATTGGTCAGATTTCTATTCATTACATGGCCTCAACTTTCCAGATATGCTGGTTCTGCCCTATTATCCCAGTCACACATTCCTTGCTCCCACACTTTCCAGATTGTATGCCAAGATCTGGAAGGACATTGGATGGATTCAGATTCATTGGAATTTGAATAGAATTCTCTATCAGGGAGGCTGATTTAACAGGGCTTCCAGTTTTATGGACAGATGACTCCAGTTGCATTAAATAAATGTTTTCTCTAATGTCACCAAAAAAATTGCATAGATGCAACCACTAGGAGTTAGGCTTTTCTCAACAACATCTTCACATGTTTAAGCATGAACAGAAAACACACACACACACACACACACACACACACACACACAAGATTGCCTTTTGAGGAAGGCTAATACAACAGAATTACATTTTCCTAAATGGGCTTTATGTACACTTAATGTCATTCAAGTATAATACCTGAAAAGACTAGTGTAACCACTTTATCCTTTGCAAGTTTGCGTTCCTTTCTTTAAATATCAACTGATTAGGCTTGGAATGTACATATGTATAGACTATAGGCAATCTGTCTGTAGCATCTCATAATTTTAAAAGTTGCTTTCAGGGCAATGTGGAAGGGGCATAGATAGGAGGAGTTCAGCAGTTGGTGGAGTTCAGAACATCTTTATTGTATTGTTAACAATGTTGTGTAGTTACAATCAACATGTTCACCCTGTCTTTAAAACAAAATAATAGCTTTCCCCCCAAAAGCTTCCATTTAACAATTACTATTTGTATATTAATACATTTTGATGGAAGATATTGTAGCAGGGAAATGTCACAAGAAAGTGTTATTGCAACATCTCAATTAGCTTGGAGTTAAGAGGAACAGTCTTTCAAGTCTTTTAAGTCTTTCACTCTATCCTCTCGGTCTCTTGAGGGACAGAAATGAAATTCTTGATATGATAGAAACTTAGTCTGGGTTTAAGGCCCAGGTCTGTGTACAATATAGTGAATTCATCATCACTCTTAGTTATTTAAATGAGAAGCTAATTATAGTAATAGGACCTGCACATTTTAAGTGGCTTCCATTATATTATGTAGGATTTCATATATTAATAATCATGTTTATACTTATATATATTATCAAATGCATGCTTGACAAAATAAATAAATAACATAAATGAAATGTCCTACTATGCTAAAGAAGGTGGGGAGAAGCAGTGACAATTTCTCTTCCATTTAAAAAAGGAGCAGTAAAAAGAGTGGTTAGTCTAAGTGCAACCAAGATCTGCGTCTCTAAATACCTTTAGCAAAGAACTTTGCTAACTGGGAATTATGGGCAGTTCTACCTTTAGGCAGAGTTGAGTGGCAGCCAGTGGTGGGATTGAAATTTTTTTACTACCAGTTTTGTGGGCCTGGCTTGGTGGGCATGGCAGGGGAAGGATACTCCTGGGGGAAGGTTACAGCAAAATCCCATTCCCTCCCCATCTCACTAACCTGCTTTCCAGCTCCGTTCTCCTGTGCAGGGCAACAAAAGAAGACCCAGCCAATCAGCTGGGACTCGGGAGGCAGAGAATAGATGGGGGAGGGGCCAGTCAGAGGTGATATTCTGAACTATTCAAAAATTCTGCTATCGGTTCTCCAGAACTGGTCAGAACCTGCTGAACACCACCTCTGGTGACAGCCAATTTGGGGTGATATAAAAAAGACAGCAGCATACATTTTTCCTGCTTAGAGGATGGAGGTGCTCAAGAGGGTTAACATAATAAGGGTTAACGGAGAGGCAGTTTCTGTAAGCAACACCAGAATGTTTCCTTCCTGCCTTCCTTACAGAATTAGGCCAGTAATTTCTTCTAACAACCGGTTCTCCAAACTGCTTAGAATGCTAACTGCTAAATTCTAACTGCTTTAGAATTTGAAGCATTTTTGCTTCAAATGCTAAAATAACTTGGCTATGGGATGTTGGACGAAAATTAACTTAAGACATCAAATATCTGGGACTGGCCCTGCTGGGAAAGACTCTTCACTGTTTCTTATTAGAACTGTAAATACATATCTCAATGCCACTATCCCACGTTCAGATATTTCAAAGCATTCCCTCTTGTTTTCTGAAACAATACACATTACATTAGATGTTTGTCAGAAAAGATCAACCATGCCAAATTCTCGCTCACATTGAATATTGTTTAAATATCACAATCATCCTCAGGGGTGGGATTCAAATTTTTTAACAACCGGTTCTGTGGGCATGGCTTAGGAGGTGGGCATGGCTTGGTGGTCATGTTATTGGCTGGGCGTGGCCAACTCAATATCACTCACATTGAGGCACGCATCTTCTTGCCTGGCCTCTCATGACTGTGGGGATGCTGCAACAGTTGTAAGTGTGAAAAATGGTCATGTCACTTTTTTCAGTGCCATTGTAACTTTGAATGGTCACTCCACACAAGCAAAGTACCAGCAAAGGAGGGGAAAAAACTCCAGAGAAGTTCCTGAGACAGAAAGTTTAGTCCTACCAAGAATGTAATAAGGGTTAATGGAGAGGCAGTTTCTGTAAGCAACACCAGAATGTTTCCTTCCTGCCTTCCTTACAGGATTATGCCAGTAATTTCTTCTAACAACCGGTTCTCCGAACTGCTTAGAATGTTAACAACCAGTTCTAGCGAATAGGTGCGAACTGGTAGAATCCCACCCCTGGTCATCCTTAGTTCAACTAGTCCTGGTGAGTTTAACTACAACCCCCACAATTCCAAAGCCTCTTAGATTTAATGAAATTATAATATAGCACTTCTAAAATGCATTGTTCTGGCTTAGAGAAAGGAGTATATAGAAGAAATCATCATTAGATTTTTTTGCTTACTAACTGGTTATTATCATTTGATATTATTAGGTTATTATCATTAATCTACTACAAGTAATTCTTGCTTAGTGACCACAAATGACCATAGCTTATGGTTTTACTTCTACATTCTCTATTAACTCTGCTTGTCACAAGCTGTGTGTGTGTGCAGCTTGACTGAGGGATGCTGCTGTGGCCATAAATGTGTTCCAGTTGTAAAACACAGGAATGGTGATCCCAATGACCCTGGGACATTGTGATGATCATAAACACAAAGTTGATTTTTTTACACCATTTTAATTTCAAATAGTTGCTGCCCAAGGCAATTGGTAAAGGGAGGACTAGCTATAATAAGCTGAGGCAGGCAGTCTTGTGGCAATCTTAATGAATGACAGTAGCTCCAAACAGTACAGTTCTGATGAAAGATGCTGAAAGTTGCAGTTGATTTGCTTCTAGAGTGCCACAGATTTCCTTCCTTTCAACTAGAATATAAATGGAATTTCATCTTTGACTTGGTGATCTTGAGTCTCATTTTCTCCCTCCCTTCTTATCTACAGATCCCCATACCAAGTGTGCCTACTCTACAGTCAACCACTCTCATCCCTGAGCGCTTGGAAACTATACAGCGCTATATCAGGGAACTTCAGTATCCTTTCAGCTGTATCTGAATCCCCAAGAAATGAAAAGAGAAGCAAGGCAACTTCCTTGCTTGACCACAAAAGGAAATAACTTGTTAACATTTCAGCTCTACTGGAAAAAGAACCTTCTCTCTCTCTCCCTCCCCTTCCCTCCCCCCCCTTCCCTCCCTCTCTCTCTGTCTCTTTTTCAGGAGGCGGATGTTTGTTAGAGTCGGTGGCTTTACTGTCTTATTCATTTCCTTTAGCTTATTCCCTAGGCATTCTGTCATCATTGTTGTAAGAAAACCAGAGTTAACCTGTTTCATAGTTTGCTTTGCTACATCAGAAATACAGCATTGAAAAGGCATTTCACCTGATGCCTTTCCAAATGGGGAATGCTTTGAGGGCATATTGCTGCTGCTAGACTCACTGAGGCTGCTAGCTGTATTTTGGGTGGAAACCTGGAGTGGATTTTGTTGGGGGTCATAATTGGTGAAAGAAAAATAAACTTTTCTGCTGCCCGCACTGTAGTCCCTCTAAACCAGAGGTCTCCAACCTTGGCAATTTTAAGGCTTGTGGACTTCAACTCCCAGAATTCTCCAGCCAGCTATGCTGGCTGGAGAATTCTGGGAGTTGAAGTCCACAAGCCTTAAAGTTGCCAAGGTTGGAGACCTCTGCTCTAAACAACACACACACAAACACACATCTGTCAATATTTTTAATAATTGGCTTATGCTGTCTCTTTCCCCCTACCCTGCAGCAGCTCTTTCAAGTCAAGGACCCCTTAACTTCTTATTCCCAGATACAATCACACTGGGACACAGTTCTTTGAAATCAAGAAAAGCAGGCCTTTGACTGGGTAAGTATTGTCTTTCCAGCCTTATTTTGAGACTAGTTCTTTTTCTTACCCCTACCCCTGCCCTTATCCTAAAAGAGGACAGTTTTTCCTAGTTGCAGATCCATGAAACAGCCACAGCAAAAAATGTTATATAATCTGCTAAAGAAGCAACTTACACTTGATTCCTGGGCTTTCTATCTCCGTCAGTAGAGTTCAGTATTTCTGAACTCTTGCAACGTAGCCATAATTGGTGCCTAGCTGATGTGATAAATATGGGTGGAGGTGCTTATTATTCCTGATTGCAATGACATTCATATAGTTTAAGCCTCCGCTGCATGCCAGACTTGGGCCTCTTAACCTGAGACATTTAATGATAGAGATTAAACATAGAAAGTTATATGATTATACTCAAATTATTCTAAATATACACTAAAGCTTTAATCTGTTTTGGAAGACAAATTTTTACTGAATGTTGAATTCAGTATTGGTAGTAAAAAAAAGTATGAAGTGAAGAGGAACTACCCATCATGACTTCTTTTCTGTTCTTGAATGACCAAGCAGTTATTTCCCTTTTCCTTCAGGCTGTTCTCCACTTATATATTATCTGACAAAACCTTTAAAATATTAATATTCTTGCTTGTTCTTTGTCTTGTCTCACAGGTTGATGGATCTGGCCAAAGAAATGACAAAGGAAGCCCTGCCAATCAAGTGTTTGGAGGCTGTGATCCTAGGAATGTATCCTTTTATTTTAGAAGACTAAATGGTTGTACACGATTTCCAGAAATAACATCTTAATCCTACTGTATTTATGCTCTGATAGGCAAACTGTTTAATTTTCTTCTTGTTTTAGACAAGAAGCATAATAGCAAAAACAAAGGGACACCCTCACTTTCTAATTAGGAATATTTTAGTTGACTGGCAGATTCCTTTTTTATTGTACTAATAGTCTAGGAATCGCATCCTGTTTTGAAAGAATTGTGTCTCATGTCCCAGAATGTCTTTTAATCATAGGTTTTCCTTTGCTTTGGTTGTAACCTTGTGAGTGCAGTTGGAATAGGATTTTCACTGCACTGCATGTTTGAATTAGTGTTAGGAGGACTGTATTATAAACCTTTGAATTGTCTTTATGATGCTAGATGATCTGCCCAGGCTCATAAATTTGAAGGCTAATATAAAGAAATCTGATGCACCAAATGCATGGATGGTTCTGGAGAACACTCAGCTGAGGTTTATCTATAGAGGAAATAGGTTTGGTAGTTTGTCACACAGAAAAGAGACCATAGTCTTCCAGGTGTTTTAGAAGTGTCTCCCCAAATCTATGCTATACAGGTAGGCCTCAAGTTACAAGTTTGTCCTCGAGTTCATTTAGGGACCGCTCAAAATCACGTCACTGAAAAACATGACTTATCACCATTTTTCACAGTTGTGACCATTGCAGCCTACCGTGAGCCTGTGTGATCGACGTTCAGGTGCTTGGCAGCTGGTTCATAGTTATGACCGTTGCCGTGTCTCAAGGTCACACAATCCCCTTTTGCAACCTTCTGACAAGCCAAGTCAATGAGGAAAAACAGATTCACTTAACAGCCGGGTTACTAGTTTACCAACTGCAGGAATTCACTTAACAACTGTGGCAAGGAAGGTCGTAAAATGGGGCAAAGCCCACTTAACAAACGTTTCACTTAACAGAAATGTTGGACTCAATTGTGGTTGTAAGTCAAGGACTACCTGTACTAGTTTATCCTGATAAGAGATAAGAATTAAGTCTAAAATATGTTAAAAAAAATAGAATGATGGTTTATTACTTTCCTTTGTTATACCACCTATTTCCTGAGTATTTCTTTTTTTTTAAATTTAGTAAATTTTATTTAGTTTTCAAAATTTAAAAACATAAAATAAAACCTTATACATCATTATATCAACGTCAAGACATCTTTTACATTTCTTTATCATTTTTCTATATACACATTTCTTTCATTATACAATTTCAACTTAATATATAAATAAATATAGAAAGAGATTAATATAGATATAAGTATTTACATAGTTTCTTATTCTATACCTAATTGCCATTTTGATTTCTTTTTATTCTTAAACCATTCATACCAGGCATCCCAGACATAATATATCGACTCTTCTTTGTCTCTTAATTTCATTGTTAGTCTGTCCATCTCTGCACAGTCTAAAAATGTTTTTATAACCACACCCTTTGGTGATACAATGTCTTGCTTCCAGAATTGTGCATAGGAAATCCTAGCAGCTGTTAAAATATGTAGCACAATGTATTTATCCTTTTTATTATATTTTTCCATTATTATTATTTCCTGACTATTTCATCATCAATAGTTACCTCACCAACCACATGCCAACACTGGACCGCTTCCCCATCAGTTTCAAAACTTACTTCTCAGGGAACTACTTCCACCATATTGTGCTGGGAGTGAACATTGGGGGCCGCTATGGGGCACTAGGCATAAGTCGACGCGAGGACCTCATGTACAAAGCTCCCACCTTCCGCACTCTGAGTGAGCTTATTTTTGACTACGAAGAGGCATATCGGTGCTGCTGGCACACCCTCAAAAAGGTGAAGCTTGGCCAGTGTGTGTCCCATGACCCACACAGTGTGGAGCAGATCGAATGGAAGCATTCCATCTTGGATGTGGAGAAGCTGAGCCGTGAGGACTTCCGCAAGGAGCTTGAGAGACATTCCCGTGACATGAGGCTAAAGGTGAGGGGAAGGGGAAAAAGAGGAGCCGATTGTTTAATCTACCCTTGTAAAGTATGGGTGAGTGCCCTTAAGTGAATGCCTGGGAATGATTTTGGACCCACAATGATTGGGTTGATGGTTTAGAACAGGTGGGACAATGTCGTACACCCACGAGTCTTGGAGGATGTTATTTATTTTACAACACTTAAGCCTGTTTTGGACTCCTGCTGTCATTTTTGTCTAGTTCCCATCTTGAAATAGAGAGGACCTGTTTCAGAATAGAATAGAAAGGTGTTTGGGTTAATGCTTTTTCGTCCATTTTTGGCAATCTCAGTTGAAGAGGCTCTGGGATCTACAAAATATGGGGGTGGGGAAATTCATGTATAGTTCAGGTTGCTCACCCATGCCTTAGTTAAATATTACTCGGTTGATGAAATGTGTTATAGATAATGTCGTTTTTTTACTCCTGGAAGGAATGAATAATTGTTGTTAGATGTTTCTTAAGGCTTAGTCCTGGATGTGTTCATTTGGCAAATTTTCCCTTCCTATCAGCATGATAATTAGCAGCAATTTGCTCTTTCTGGAGATATATTTAGATGGGCTTTTATACACAAAATTTTGGTGAAGTGTTTTGAACATTCAAAAGACCTAAACAGTGCTAAAAATACGGCAAGCTCCTTCCTAGTTTTTGTATCAAGAGAAAAGCCTAAGGATATGAAGTTTCTCTTTCCCTAGATCAGCAAAGCTACTGGGCCACCATCACCCACCAAGGATAGGAAAAAGGATGTACCATCGCCACAACGAAGCCAATCCAGTCCACATCGCCGCAATAGCCGGACAGAAAGGCGGTAAGCCTGCAATACTTTGCTTTGCCTTTACGTAGTTTTTGGTTTCCTTGATTTTGCTACAATTTAAGTGCACATAACTTTTTTGTCCTACATGAGTAGAAACGTCTTTTACATAATTCTTCTTGTCTCAGTATATACACTTCGCACCAGTTTTTTCTCTCTGCTTTTAAGCAACCTGTTTGGTTATTGCTCCCAGTGACATTTTGAAATTAAATGATTGATTGAATGCTCAGTCTCGTGGATTTTACAGCATGACCATTAACTGATTTATAACTTCTTTCCAACAGAGCAATATTTTGCATATTTACATGCAATTCTAGCGGACACAATGGCTCAGCAGTTAAAGACGCTGAGCTTGTCAGCTGGAAAGCTGACTGTCTGGGTTCGAGACCTGAGCACTGCATGATGGGGTGAGCTGCCATTACTTGCCTCAGCTCCTGCCCACCTAGCAGCTAGAAAGCATGCAAATGTGGGTAGATTAATAGGTACCACTTTGGTGGGAAGGTATCATCCTCAGTGTATAGTCATGCTGGCCACATGACCACCAAAATGTCTTCGGACAATGCTGGCTTCCTCAGCTAAGAAATGGAGATGAGCACCACCCCCTAGAGTCGGAAATGACTGGACAGGGAAACCTTTACCTTCACCTCTACCTTACATGCAATTATATTCTTTGCTGAGTGGTGTTATTCCCAACAAGGGTGTCTGTTAGAAATCTGAGTTAGAATAGATATGGATTTCCTTGGAAAGCATTGCACACACTCCTCCCTTCTGTGAATACTCCCTCACAGAAAAAGAGTGGATGCCATCTGCAAGAAATTTGCCTTCTCCCGTTGCATTCTTGTACTGTAAGCTCATTGTCATAATGAAAGCTCATTAATAGAAGGAAATGCCCCCATTCAAGCAAGAAAAGGATGACAAGCCTCTTCCTGACTTATTGTATGACTCACAGAAGGAGAAGAGATACTGATGTTGATTAAAACTTAGCCTGGTGCATTTGCCAAGTCAAGACTTTGAGAACTTATGCCCAGAATGTATCCTTGAAGAATATGTGGGATGATTACCTAGCTAAGCTTTACAGATAATGGTATCAATTTAAGATATTAAAATAGTTAAAAAACTTTTTCTTGTTAGAAGGTGCAGACTCTTTTCACTTGTTCATTTGCTGTTTTTTTCTCTCTCTCTCCATTGTGCAGACCATCTGGAGATAAGAAACCTACAGAACCCAAAGCCATGCCCGACCTTAATGGTTACCAAATCAGAGTATAAAGAACTTCTCATTTGTGGACCATTTGGTGGAAAGCATTTGAACCAACACTACCTATAAGATGTGCAGTGTGGGAGGGGATGCAGAGGGTACAAAGTGCATATTTTCCAAGGTATTTATTTACTCGGGGTGATAGCCTGTGTATTAGAGGACAGCCATGTCTTTGCATTATATCAGAAACTAAATACACCAACTAAAAAAACAAGCAAAAAAAAAGATCTTCCACCAGTTATTCATTGTTCTACATAGCGGCAAGAGAAGATACATTTTGGAAAGTAACAGTAAAAGCCCTTTCGTTGCTGTTTCTCAGCCCACACAGAAGTAGAATGCTTTTGACTTCAAAAAGCCCCATAGTAAGCTATATGTCTCCTCTCTGCTTTCGAAGGAACCAGGTTAGCAGGAGATCTCAGGAGATAGACAGGGGCTAGGAGCAAAAAAATAAACAAAAATACTGACTCCTATGGAAGAATTTCTTAATTTGTATTTTCTGAGAATTTTAATATTTTTAATAACTTGGGGAGTGGGGAAAGCGTACCATGTTGTTGCATATGCTCTAAAATCATCAATGTGATCCTAGTGTTTTTGTTTCAAATAATGGATTGCCTAGGATGAAAAGGCACATCATGCAACTCTCAATGCAAACTGGCTAGCTGGATCCTCAAGATACACGTTTTGTAAATAGAAGACAGTTTAGGAACTGCCTGTGTTTTGGGGCATGGACCTCAGATGAATGCTATCATAGCTTAAATGGCTTGTCATGGCGGTACCCGATTGTGATGCATTCTAGAGATTAATTGGAGACCAAGGTTTCCATTTTCCTCACTTTCTGGTGCTATTCTAGATTTGACTGTTGTTAGAGTAAAAGAAGCTTTCGGGTGGCAGCAGAACAACCTGATACTCTCTCTATGTGTGGAATTGCAGTCTCGCCATCTGGAGGGTGTCTGTTGAGAGAACGCTGCTGGGAAAGCACATCTCCTGTTTCTTGGAAAAGAGTGTCTTACTCATTTATAGTAACATGACCCTTGCTCTTTCTCCCTGACAAGATGTGAATTCATTCCTGCTGTATGAAATTGTGTACTGAGGGTTCCTAGAGTGTGTCAAGTAGTAGCAGTGTATTTAGATATTAACACGGGGATCAGATCCTGGGATATGATGTCTCTTTCTGTATTCTCTTTTCTGATTCTTTCTCCTCCCTTCTTGACTTGTGCAAAATGGGTAGAAGAAACAGAGTTTTTTTGTGGAACCAGTATTTTATTGCCTTTTCTTGAGGCTATATTTTAAAGGTGAATTTGCATTACTTTAGTGGTGCATCTTTTTCTCTCGGATGTTTTATTAAGTAAATATGGTTACTAATATTGGCAGAAGCCAAACTTAGTCATGAACCTGCTCCATAGTTCAGTTCATATCCCTTTGACACTGAATGGCCAAACTGCAAATAGGTTGGTAGTCTTTAGAGGCATGAATAGAAAACTCTGTAGTGGCCATTGTTAAAAAGATGTGTGGACACCCAGAAAGCAGGAAAACCTGGACATTTAGTATTTAATAAGTTAGGTGAAAAGGAATGTGATAGGCCTCGTTAGGCGATAGTAATTTGAGAAACCTCTAAAGAATCTGATGCTAAGTCTTCATTTAACCATAGTTTATTAACCAAGCATCTCATACACTGTACAGTTAGTACATGCAAATCATGGAAAGAAGTGATGATGGTGTAAGGAGAGAAACCCAGAGAGGTCTTAAAACACTTGACCCACTCCTATTTAGGATGTAGCTTTCCTATAATTGCAAGAAAAATAGATTTTATTGTTATTGTTCTCTACCATCTTTGTCACAAATATTTATTATCTTTCAGGGTTTTTAAAAACATTATGTTTTTGTAGCAGAATAGACCTGCTATGAAATAAACACTTAAGATTCTGATGTGCCTTGCATGCCTCTACCTATAGAAGCAGAAAGCATTTCTGGTGAATAATATTGCATTTTATATATACTGAGAAGGGGGAAAGTGGGGGGGGGGTTGATATGGGCTCAAAAACGGGAACGGGATCTACAATACATTAGATAGTTTAGAGGCAGTGACAAGGAAGCATACATGAAATATTCCCACGCTGTTTTTTAACTGTTGGGTACATATAAAATTTTGAGATCATGCCATGTGTCATCTCATAGAATGACTACCAATGTAGGATATACATATTCATAACATAGCTACAATATGGATATGGCCAGCCATAAAATGCCTATTTAGTAGAAAAGAGCCTGGGATGATATTCCCTGTCATTTCCTCTAGCCCATGCAGATAGTTTCATATTTTATACTCTAGACCAAGGGTGTCAAACTGGATGTCTTGGAGGGCCGGATCAGCTTTGTAGTTGTTCTCTCCCCATGCCCCATTTTTGCTAGCAGAGGCACTGCGGGCTGGTCCTTTGCTATTTCCAGGCTGGCACCTGTGGGTCTTAAATTTAACACCCCTGCTCTTGACTTTTTTCCTGGTTAAAGGGGAACATTTTCAGAAAAACATTTAACCTATTGTGTGGGATCCAGTGGCCTTCTTGGAAATAAAGATGTTATAGACCGGGGTGTCAAGCTCGCAGCCTGCAGGCCAGACGTGTCACGTGCTGGCCATGCCCACACCTGGTTTAGTGAAGGGAGGAAAAGTCCCGATAGGTCACGTGACGCTACCATGACGACACGAGTTTGACACCCCTGTTTATAGACCATTGATTTAGAGCAGGCCAGCTTCCATATATTTGTTGTAATTAACACTAGGTGGAAGTATCCTATTAACCCCACCATGTAGATCAGGCCAGGAGGGCTAAAACTACCATTTTTGAGAGTGGCTATAGTTACAGAATCTTACAAGTCTTATTGTGCTGTAGCTCCTCACCCACCCCCATTGCATTCCTGTGAATTAGTGAAGTGTCTGCTTCAGCCACTTCCAAATATTTTTTGTTTCTTATGGACTTAAGATGTTTTTCACTGCTGCTTTGTTAACAGAGCTTGCATATCTCTGTCAAAATCATATTCCTTACTCTCTACATACCACATTAATTCTCATGGGGCCACTTTAGTAATCTTATTGTATGTGGCATAATACTACAGAATATATACAAGTATTCCTGCCCAGAACTAGCATGTCACAGAGATGCATTTAGAAAACTGTTGTCTGAATCCTTTCATTTTTATAAAAGTAAGGGAGAAAACATAGGAATTGGACAATATTTATCTTTAAGATTTTAATGTGTTATTTTTAAAACATTGAGTCTAGTTTTTAGGTAACATATAGTGAGATTCTAATGAAATTGTATATTAATCTATCAGCAGTTGCCTGTGCAAAATACTTAAGCATCCTTTTTCAAAAGTTTCACTCATCAGAATTGTATTCATTCACTTTGTATTTTATCACCATTATGGATATATTTTGCTGCTGTTAAGCCTTCTAAAAAATAAATGGCAACAGCAGGGAAAGCCTTGATATGGTGGTGACTGAGATCAATGTTAAGCTCGATTTATTGAAAAAGCTGAGCCAAATTCCAAGATGAAATGGGAAGAAAGAAATCTTTGACATTCAACATTTTAGCTGAGGCCTTGTATGAAGTGACAGCTGCCATTAGTTCTCTCTGAAGAAAAGCTCCATTCTGAAGCATTCAACATATTTCTGTTGTAAGCAATAATAGGAAGGTGAAAATAAATAAAACATATAACTGAACTTACATTCTTTGACCAGTCTGTGACTGGATGTGTCCCTGACTTGGCTCTGAGAGAGAAGAATTTAACTGAGAAATTTGAGGGATTCAAAGCAGAACTACACATTTTGATGGATAACTTAATTGCATGTACTTAGTGCAATGTTTTTCAACCTTGATCACTTTAAAATGTGTGGACTTTAACTCTTAGAATTCCCCAGCCAACAAAAAAGGACATTATGGAATGAAGGTGAGGAAACATTTCTCAGTGAAATAGAATTCACACATAAAATAAGGAGCTCAGCAAGTTTGTGCAATCTCCTTCCCTTAAAAAAGTATCCATGTGCACATTGGCTTCACCCCTTGTGCTTTCTCCAATGCTGCTTTGCAAATATTCTTGATGCAAATATTTTTGTGGTGAAGGAAAAAACGCCAAGAGGCTTCTCTGCAGCCACCAGAGCAGGCAGGAAAAATGGATGTAGGCAATAAAGCACTATGGCTTCAAGGAAAGGAGAACCTTAAGCAGCAGCAGGAATTCCCACCAATGGGAAGCTGGCCCTTGAGTAGTAGGAGGGAGAAAATTTCCATCATGGGAAGCTGGCCACTCTATAACTTGAGGCCAAACTTTTAGAACAACTGCTAGTTTGACTTGTAATGCCTTATTTGCAAAGCCTACAGTAGAATGGAAGAGCTCAGATCAAAGCAATCCATGCACACAGAAGAGCCTCAAGGTGCTTTAGGCTGAGAAGCTTTGAGTCTCCAGCTCAATCCGCATTGTTAGTGGTTGGGAATTATTTATCTTTCTGGTGTTTCTTAGAATGAAGAGGGTAGGAACTTAAGAACTGGTAGAATCTTTTGACATGATAAAGCTCTATCTAGTAAGTTAGGGTCTGGTGTCACAGGATCTAGTATTGACTTCTGCCCGTTCACTGTCCAGAAAATCTAGATTAATCCAGAAAATCCAGTTTTGAGCATTACAAGTTTTAAAGATGAGAAAATGGAACATTATTTTCTGAGGATGCTATGACAGTGAAAAATTTAACTGAATAATGCTTTCCCTTCTGGTTTGTAATTCCCAGCCTCAGTAATTCTGGGTACTGGCCTATAGTCTTTGAAGCTTCTGGTGAATGCTAAGTCACAGAACAAGAAAGGGTTTTTTTTAAAATCTCCTGTCAGATTCTAAAAGAGCTTGCTGACCTTATTTGTATTACTGCAGACTAGATGAGGAGTGGTGGAAGTAAACTTTTCACAGATGAGTTCACCAAGGAGTCATTCAGTATTTGAGCTGAGGTTTATAAGACCCACTTATTATTTTCCTCTAGAGAGACACTAGACTACTTGAACAGATGTCTGGAGACCCTTTGGAATGGGTGAGAGAGTTCAGAAGATGAAACTTAATCTGGACAGGGCAATATTAGAGGTTGCTTGGGGATGAAAAGTAGCTAGCTGGCCAGTCTGGCTAGATCATTATATTTAGTGGTAGATGAGGCTGCTTTTCCAAACGGGTCGAAATGAGCACTTTGGGAATTGTAGCTAAGTGGGGAACTTAATGTGGCTTCTATGCCTGGGAATAATTTGTGTGAGCTGAAAGTACTATGCCAGTTGTGACACTTTCTGAAAGAAATGAGTCTTAGCTTGACAGTTCATGTATTAGAAACACTCAGAATTATAGAATCATAGGACTGGAAGGACTCTTGAAGATCTTCTAGTCCACCCTTCTGCCCATGCCAAGAAACCTTATATCATGCCATACAAGTAGTTTCCAATCCTTTCTTGAAAAGTTACAGTGATGGTGCACCCATAACTGTGAGAAGCAAGCTGTTTCATTCTCC